AATAAAATGACAAAACCTCATAACATTGCTAAACATTTTAATTAATTCTGAAAAATATTAAAGAAGTATTAATTAATGTTTTCGAGGTATTAATAAATACTATAATAGTGTATAAATAACACTAAAATGACACTGTTTTGCATGTCAGTTTATGTAAAAAAATGGCTGAAGCTGAGTTTTATATATATATATATATATATATATACAGGTCCTCCATTGACTAATATTTGTAAAGAGCAATTTAGTAGCTTAAAAGCGAATGAACTCTACATCTCTCTGGGTGATAAGATGATGGCCTGTTTCCTGCTATCTGGCTCACTGTAAGCCCGCTTAGCATTCAGTGTCTGTACATGAACCTATAAGCCTCCACTCTGGAGACCTACTTATGCTTGGCGTAGGTTCATACACAGCACTGATATGCCCCTTTAACAAGGGCAAACATGGTGTACACCACCGGAATCATACGCCCCAACTAATCAACAGGCACATTTGACATGGTCATTTTACCCCAGCGGTCACGTTTGGATTCGTTCCGTCAAATCTGCACTTAGACGTTCTGTCAAATGAAGCAAGGGTCGCTAAATTGTTGAACTCTCGGTGACCTGTGAGTGATGTATTCAGGTCAGAGTATTGAGAGGGGTATGACAGAGCTTGTTAACCGAGACTCAACAAGCCACTGGAACATTTTTTTGTTTATTTCACTCCGTCGCTACGAGCATCGCTCAAGGGTATAAGCCACAGATACCTCTCTGAAAGTCTATTACTGGAGGGAAATTATGGAATAAATGCCTGGTGGAAGCTGTGCGATTCACTTGCTCACTGTCCATTAGGGTTTTCGCATCCTGTCTGTTGTACAGCAAAAGTACCAAGGTTATAATAGTCTTACTTTTGCACATTTGCAATACTGAAAGTTTTTGCTTCATGAAATATTCCTTTTTCGCATTTGTTTTAGTAATCAGAAATAACACTTAAGCGTGTATTCGAGTGAACGTGTTGCAAATGTGTCTCATATAGAGACAGGAAGTGAGTAAATGAATTCGGTAGATTTATAATAAGGGTGCGCTCGCTCCACCAAGCTGCCATAATGTCTCCTGCAATCCTCGCTAATTTATTACCGCCTTTGTCACCCAGCGGATCGGGCCACGAAGTTTTATTACACGCAGCACAGATACGTTTTCCTTTAAGTCAGGACTCTTTTTAATTGCCTACACTTTGAGAAAATGAAAATGAAATCTAACACCCCCCACCCCTAAAAAAGGGCCTGTCTGAGACTTTCGATCTTTCTGCAGCGTACATAATGAATCCCAGAAATACCCCCTTAGCCCACATAAAAAGCTAATATAATTATGGGGTCAGTTGTATGGCTAATAGCTCATAGTTCGACCACCCAGCTACATGTGTTTAATTAGAGGACAGATCAGTTAAGCATCACTTACTAGTACAAAAACAAATGATTTCTCTCTGTCTCTATTTCTGTGTCTCTCTGCTCTTCCTGTAAGTAGTGTGGCTTCTGACACTAGATTGATAGCAACCAGTTGATCAGACCAGACGATCAATCAGCAGCCACATTTCACAAAACACAGTGTAATTAACTTACCCACATTATGATACATGAAATACTATACGAGCGCATGTTTCAGATTGATATTGCTCGGAGGGACAAAAGTGGGGTTTTAACAAGATTAGTGTACTGCCCACATATGGAGATTAAGACGTTGGGCTAATTGCTCATTGCGAAGATTGTTTTTGAGACAAAATGGATGCCCAGGCTCTTTTGTTTAGTTAACAGAAGCACCAAATCCAGATGGTTTTACATTAATAAAGGCCTGTAAACATTATAGCAATTATGGCAGAAAGAGCTGTAAAACCAGAGGTCAGAGTCTTTTGCATAACGAATCAGAACTCAGGGCAAAACCATTAGAACTGTGAAAATGGAGTGTTTGAAAAAACACATGAAGTCTGAATAATGTAATGTAAACATTTTAACAGAAAAAAAGCCTTCAAATATTACCTATTAAACTATAACTATTAAACCTATATTACCTATACCTATAAGTGTCACCTACCAACAATATATATATATATACTAATGATATACAGTATATACATATAATAATTTAATAGAAATAATTTTCTGAATAATGCAATGTAAAAATATCAACAGAAATAAAAGTATAATATATTAATATATAGCAAATTTACTATATTAAAACATTTAATCATTATTATTTTTTATTACTGAATGTATATATTTAGCTTATACACTCACACACACACGCAATTTATGTTGGCAACACTTTAATTTTAAAGGTGTCCTTGTTACACGTTACATGTACTTACTATTATAATTACAATAAGTTATGCATAATTACTTGCAAGTAACCCTAAGCCCAACCCTGATCCTTATCCTAACCATATAGTAAGTACATGTAGTTAATTAATATTACTCAGTACTTAAATGTATAATTGCACTGTAACAAGGACACCTTAAAATGTTCTATGTTGCTAGTTCATGATATCTGATATTATATATTACATAAGTTGCCTCTGAATATTAAATTAGCCAATAAAAACAAAATAATGGTTCCAGTTAGAACCAGTTTTGCATCCTGCTGCCACATGATAACATTTTCAAGTTATTCAAACCTTTGTTTTTAACAGTGTACACCACCTGTTCAATCTACAGATGATAACAGATGCATTCTCTTTCTCTTGCAGAAACACGATGGGCAGTTCACCGTCATTCAGCTGGTGGGCATGATGCGTGGAATCGCTTCGGGAATGAAATATCTGTCTGACATGAGCTACGTCCACCGTGACCTGGCGGCACGCAACATCCTGGTGAACAGCAACCTGGTGTGCAACATTTTGCTGTTTATTTATGGGTGTTTCTTTACATTTTAGAAGATAAACTCTATTGAAACACACTTTTCACACTCCATCAATTTTATTAGTCTACTAACAATGTCCAACAGTGGAAATTGCATGGAAATGGATATATATATATATAGAATATATATTTGTGCTTAATAGTATTTTCTGACTGAAATGACAATGATGGAAATTTTAACATTCCCATACAATTAAACCATAGACAACCATTTAAATGTTTGAGGTTAAGTTTATTAAAATTATTTCGACATAGAATACATTTTGATAAATTTCATGTATCCTTGCTGAATTAACACATATCTTACTGACCCCAAACTTTTAAATGATGTGTGTTTATTTTCACACTTTCTGCATAATTTGTTACAGCTTGAATGAAAATGATGCACAATTAAACATTTTCTTTGTTTTCATTATGTCATGCGTTTCATATTCCATCTCAAGCTCTTAACTGACTGTATTATCTCTTTGGTTATCAAGTACACTAATTTTTTAGAAAACTTGTTGCAAATGATGCCACAAATATGTGGGATGACTATTGAAAATGCTATTTTTCCCCCCACACAATAAATAATAAAACAGTTTCATTTTATTTGTTTAGATGATCATAGTTTTAACTGGTAATAATCCTTTTTTTTTTTTTTTTGGATGGATTTTCATATTTTAAGATTGAAGATCTGGGTTTGGGACAAGGGTAAAACAATAAAATCTACAAAATGTTTTTAGTGTCCTTTATAAGATGTAACAAAAAAAATGAAATCGGTTAGTTTAAACAAACAAACAAAAAATCAGCCGTCATTCAGCTGGTGGGCATGATGCGTGGAATCGCTTCGGGAATGAAATATCTGTCTGACATGAGCTACGTCCACCGTGACCTGGCGGCACGCAACATCCTGGTGAACAGCAACCTGGTGTGCAAAGTGTCCGACTTTGGCCTGTCCAGAGTGCTAGAGGACGACCCTGAAGCTGCATACACCACACGGGTAAAGCACATTTCCCCCCTCAAGGTTTTATTAGATCCTAGAGTGAGTCATCATCAATTTTACAGAAACAGGGAATGAAGGAAGAACTAAACGGATAAAAAATTTATGCTGTTTTTTTTTTTTTGACATCTTGTTTGCAGTATAATTCTGAGTCCCACTTTAGTTGTTATTTAATGGTTTTTCAGAGCTAGCTTTCATCATTGTCTTTGCTTAATACGGAAAATTTGACTCTTTCCATGAGCCCTCAGTTGAGAAATGATGATTGAAATGTCTCTGATCTCCTTGAAAATGTCTCTCATGTCTTTTGAAAGTGTTTGATTGTGTGAAAGAACTTCACCAAGACACCGAAAGAAAGAGACAGAGGAGGGATGTTTGAGAAGCGAGTTGGCTTTCTCAGGGGTCAGTTTCTCTGTCAACCCAGCATGTATTAATTACATCTGTTTTTGACAGGACAACCGCCTCCAAACCCCCTACACTCGTTCCTCTCTCTCCTTCTCAGCTCGGTAATTGGTGAGCACCCTGTGGATGCGTATGAAGGCCAAGGGCAAGAAAGAGGCATATGTGTGTGTGTAGCCGTCGGTGTCCACTCTGGTGAACAAAGCATAAACTCAGCAGGAGAATCTGTTGTCACATGCAAACAGGGGAGAAAAGTGCTCAGACAACCCCGAACAGACCCCCGCAGATTGCTTTTTGTTGTCTGTGTGTGCGCATTTGAGGCAAAATATGTGTTTTCGCACAGAGAGGAACTCTTAAAATATAAGTGGCTTTGACATTCAGCACCCCGTGCCCTGTTGCTTCAAGTGCTGAAATCATGAAGAGACAAAACCCTCCAGGCCACGCGAGGCAGCCGTTTATGTGCCGTGACTTTATATAATTAAAAAATTGTAAAGATTGCTTTTTGAAATTCTCTTTAAATGATTTTACCCCATGGGCCCTACTGCTATTCTTTGGCACTCTCATCACGTATGTCTATACAGAGTACAGCCGGTTTGTCTTTTGTTTGACTTTGACTATAGAGATTAACTACAAACCACTGCAGCTATTTAAAAAGACATTTAGGAAAATACAGACCCTGCCATAGTGCTGGAATAGGAAAAGACAAATATTGTCTCTATTTTGCTGTTTATTTATGGGTGTTTCTTTACATTTTAGAAGATAAACTCTATTGAAACACACTTTTCACACTCCATCAATTTTATTAGTCTACTAACAATGTCCAACAGTGGAAATTGCATGGAAATGGATATATATATATATAGAATATATATTTGTGCTTAATAGTATTTTCTGACGGAAATGACAATGATGGAAATTTTAACATTCCCATACAATTAAACCATAGACAACCATTTAAATGTTTGAGGTTAAGTTTATTAAAATTATTTCGACATAGAATACATTTTGATAAATTTCATGTATCCTTGCTGAATTAACACATATCTTACTGACCCCAAACTTTTAAATGATGTGTGTTTATTTTCACACTTTCTGCATAATTTGTTACAGCTTGAATGAAAATAATGCACAATTAAACATTTTCTTTGTTTTCATTATGTCATGCGTTTCATATTCCATCTCAAGCTCTTAACTGACTGTATTATCTCTTTGGTTATCAAGTACACTAATTTTTTAGAAAACTTGTTGCAAATGATGCCACAAATATGTGGGATGACTATTGAAAATGCTATTTTTCCCCCCACACAATAAATAATAAAACAGTTTCATTTTATTTGTTTAGATGATCATAGTTTTAACTGGTAATAATCCTTTTTTTTTTTTTTTTGGATGGATTTTCATATTTTAAGATTGAAGATCTGGGTTTGGGACAAGGGTAAAACAATAAAATCTACAAAATGTTTTTAGTGTCCTTTATAAGATGTAACAAAAAAAATGAAATCGGTTAGTTTAAACAAACAAACAAAAAATCAGCCCCTAGGACACCAAAGTAAGTACTTGAAGTGAAAAAACCCTCTTGTTTTTTTTTTTTTTTTCTTATTTAGGGTGGAAAGATTCCCATTCGATGGACGGCCCCTGAGGCTATAGCGTACAGGAAGTTCACCTCAGCAAGCGACATTTGGAGTTACGGCATCGTCATGTGGGAGGTGATCTCATATGGAGAGCGGCCTTATTGGGAGATGTCTAATCAAGACGTAAGTGTCCTTGAGAAACTGGAAACACACGTGTTCTCGTGTGTATTGTTTAAATTGAAATCTGCTCCACTAATATCTAATATCTCCGCTAATATAATTTCTACTGAAGCCTCTCGGGGGGTTCCGAGCAGTATGTCCTTGCAAACGTTCAGAGAGTAACAGACATCTTCCTACGGTGATGTCTGTATAGCAACTACTCGAATGACAATGGTTTTTAGGAGCCTCATAAACGAGAACTGTCCAGCTGCTCCTGCCTTTAATACAAGCCAGTTAAACACACTTCATCCCTCACTGCTGTATTATGCTAACGCTCTCTGACTTCTCCCTTTATTACCATCAGAGGAAATGTCAAAGGAATCTTCAAGACCTTCAGGGCACCGCAGATAATGATTTAGATCTTCAGTGCTCATTTTGAAACAAAGAAATGAATGTTAGAATGTTTCCTGTCTAAAATAAATAGTTCCTTTGATTTAAGAAAAGGAAGTGGCAGAGAACAGGAGCTGTTTTAACCATAGCAATGAATTATAGTCATATAGAAGATGTTTAAACCATTGAGTTGAGTTATAGTCTGGTATGTTATGGAAATGTAAAAGTGATGTTACTTGCATGAATATACCATGGTAACCATAGTTTTCACCATAATAGAGTAATTGATGTTAACTGTTAATACTGTCTTCAAAGGATAAAAAGTCTAACAAAAGGACAGAAAGGTTCAGAAAACTGTTTGAAGATCCTATATTAATGCATTTTTTTTTGTAGTTGCAATAACAAAATTAGCAACGACATTGAAAAGAAAGTAACCTTAATAAGGTTACAGCTACTAAAGTAGCTTTATGGGGAAATCAAATAGAAATTGTCCTTAAATATACATTTGCACATGCACATTGTATTGTACAGTATTTTTAATGCATGTCTTTGTCTTCCAGGTGATTAAAGCTATAGATGAGGGTTACAGGCTGCCCGCTCCGATGGACTGTCCTGTTGTCCTCCACCAGCTGATGCTGGACTGCTGGGAGAAGAGCAGAAGTGAACGGCCCAAATTCGGGCAGATCGTCAACACTCTTGACAAACTGATCCGCAACCCCAACAGTCTGAAAGAGCTCGCCAACAGCTCAATCTGGTGAGAAACTCATATGAGCCTTCACTTCACTAAAATTCAGCTGATATTTGTGCAGACACATGATTTTCACTCTGTTTTTAACCCTGCATTAAAGGGATAGTTCAGCCAACAACATTTTTGTTTATGTTTATCTGCTTACCCCCAGGGCATCCAAGATGTAGGTGACTTTGTTTCTTCAGTAGAAACTCAAACAAAGATTTTTAGCAGTCCTATAATAGCAGTCAATGGGTCCCATGGCTTTGAGAGTCAAAAAACATACACAGACAAAACCAAATTAAACCCTGCGGCTCGTGACGATACATTGAGGTCTTAAGACACGAAATGATCGGTCTGTGCAAGAAACTGAACAGTATTTATATAATTTTTTACCTCTGATCCACCGCAATGTCCAACTGTCCTGAGCGCGTTCACAACATCTGGCGCGTTTGTGTTCTACTGAAGAAACAAAGTCACCTACATCTTGGATGCCCTAGGGGTAAGCAGATAAACATCAGATTTTATTTTTTGGGTGAACTATCCCTTTAAGGCCACTTTTTGACCCTGGAATCATGTTAAATCCTGTTTTCCTGTAAAATATCTGAACATCCTTGAAACCAGATAAATTAAAGGTAAGTTAATATGCATTACCATTCCAAAATTTGTGGTCAGTACAATTTATTTATTTATTTATTGGCAAGAAATTAATACTTTTGTTCTGTAAGGATGCATTAAATTTATCAAAAGTGACAATAAAAACATGTATAATGTTGCAAAAGATTTCTATTTTAGACAAATGCCGTTCTTTTAAAGTTTCTATTCTGAAAAAAAGTATCATGTTTTTTTATGTTGTTGTTGTTTGTTTTAATATTAAGCAGTACTCTTTTCAACATTAATACGTTTCTAGAGCAGGAAATTTGCATTTTAGAAGGATTTTTGAAGGATCATGTGACTCTGAAGACTGGAGTAATGGCTGCTGAAAATTCAGTTTTGCCATCACAGGAATAAATAACATTTTAAAATATGTTAAAATAGAAAAGTTAAATTGTAATAATGTTTTACAATATTACTATTTTTACTGTATTTTTGATCAAATAAATGTAGCCTAAAAAAAATGACTTACAGACCCCAAACCTTTGAAAGGTAGTGTATCTTAACATTCTTAAAACAAGATAAATGAATGATAAGTTAATACACATTTACTAGGTAAGGCTCATTTTCAGGGAATGTCTCAAATTATTCCTTTTTCTTACCCCATTGGCAATTTATTCTTGTTTTAAAAGTAAACTTTACTATATGTTGTTAGATATATTCTGAAAAGTACCAATGGGATGAAAATGCATTATTATTTAAATTAATTCAAGTGTCTGAGGGAGGTTATGATGAATAGTGATGGCAAACATGTTAAATTGCTGAAAAGACATTAAAACATGTCACATCCTCTTTGCAAGACTTGCAAATTAGAAAAATACCCCAAGGTTTTCCTCATGTACAGTGTGTACAAATAGTATGATCAATGTAAACATGGATCAAGCTAACCCAAGATTATGTTAACTCAGGGTTAACGATTTCAATTGTGAAAAACCCGATAATGTGGTGGAAACATGAAACACGAAGGACAACACCAGTTTAAACCAAAGGATTGTCTCTTTTAAAGTAATGTACAGATAAAACATTTAAAAGACACAAAAGCAAATCCCTAACAGCTCAAATAAATCCAGAGAAAATCCAATAGAGCTTTTCGGTGTCTGCTCCATGAACTCTCAAATCGTTCGTTTTATGTGAAACAACAAGCAGATAAACTCCATATTGTCTAATATAACCAAACCTAGTGTCGCTGATCCTTTTCCAGCAGACATCCATCTCGCAGCTTTGTAAAAAGACATAGTCGTATAGATAGCCTGAACCCCCATTGTAAAACCTGACACGAGACAGAGCGCAGACTCTCCCTCCACCTGCGGTTTATCAGGAGCGCTGGAGAAGGAGAGGCAGAGTTCACATTACAGCCATAAAGCCAGTGATTCGTAGCCCTTCATGAGATATACGCTTCCTCAAGCCCATCACAGTCTCTCTGATTACAGCCCAACCTGCCAGTCATTTTATCCCTCTGTGTCCAAAGAGGACAAAGAAGAACGAGGGCGTTAAATACATCCCGGGTCTGAGATTGAATTGACCCCCGGTTTTCACTCAAATGCTGCTGTCACTCAGCAGTGTGAACCTAACCCGTCTGTCATGAAGAACGGAAAGGCAACACAATAGGTTTTAACCTCAACTGCAACTCCTGAACTTTTATCCTCTCCTCATGAAATTGCTTAAGATATCGGCTCTCGGAAGAAACTGCTGTATTCCCTAGTAGAAAGTTCTTGGATCAGCTTGCTTTGTTGGTTCGGAAAAAAGGCTATCATTAAACTATCATGAAATGAGAAACAAGTGACAGTTTGATTAGATATTCTTAACTGTAGGCCTGAAGCTGAAGCCCTAATACGATATCCTGCATCTCCATAGATGATTTATAATGCAAGACCAGTTTTCCAGCTCAGTTCTCAATGCTTTCACAATGAACCAAACCGCAATTGATACAAATTTCATTTCCTTTTCAGGGAAGACCCCACCACCCCAGAATTCAGTGTGAGTACGGTGGATGAATGGCTGGACGCTATCAATATGGGCCAGTACAAAGACAACTTTGCCAGCGCAGGCTACGTTTCTCTAGATTCCATACTGTACATCAGCATGTGGTAAGTTTGTATACCAATATAAATACACTTACGTTATACTTGTGAACCCAAAAGTAGTGTATAAACACATTTTGGCAAGTAGGAAGACCCTATTTTTATTGTATTTTATCATTTTATTTTATTTTATTTTTTAAATGATTTTATACTTTTATTTTTAAAGACTGGGACTTTGCCATCTCAGGAATAAATTGCACTTATTAAAATAATTTAAATAATAATACAAAATTTAATATTTTTTAATGTAAAATAAAATCACTTCTGAACTGTAGTGCAGGGTTATTATAGTAAGCTAAAACTAAAACCATAAAAAAAAACATAAATTGAAATAAAATAAATGTAAACTAAAATAAAATATAAAACAACTTCAACTTATTTTATTTCAGATAGTTGACATTTCTCATTTTCGTTTAGTTTATCTTGATATTCTAAACTAATTAAAACTAAAACTGAAATAAAAATTGAAATAAAACTGTATAGATATTTAAAAACAATAAAAAATAATAAAAAATAAAAAAATGAAAATTATTATTATTATTATAAATAATAATAATTAAATCAAATTATATATACACACACACACACATATTTCTCTGTGATTCAGAATTCATATTCATATTTTTTCCCAACCAGCAGCTGTTAATGGGAAACTATCACTTGGTTTGTATTTTTATAATGTAGTGCCGGGTAGCCCCACCCACAAATACATATCTTTTGTTCAAAAATCATGTTCCACATTGCAGTAAATTAAACATCAAACATCAAAACAATTACGTAGAAACATGATATATCAGAGAACTCATACTACTCTTAAATATATTGTTGTTTAATCATCGTTTCTATAACCAAACTACTAATAAACTGAATCCAAAATCAAAGGCAGGGTAAGCGATTTCTGGTAGCCAATATTGATATTTGAAATCACCAAAACAAACACGCCCCTACCCCAAAAGTGTCTTGCCCCTATTTTGATAGCTCCGCCCCACATATACGTACGCAACCCAGGCAACGATTAGTTCTGTGAAACAAAGCAAAACCAATGTTACACCGTGTCTACATCGGACGTGAGCAGCACGGCGCAACAAATCCCGACAGAAAACTGCTGCCGTGTTCTATTTATGACGTGCTGACACAAATTTCAAATGGTTTTCGGCGGCCGTTTGATCGCGTCCAGTGTAGGCAGACTTTAGCTGTTGTAGACACAGTGTTACTCACATATTGAGAAGAAACAAAGCAACCTCGGCGTCCGATCGCAGGCCTCCGCTCCTTGAGTTCTCTCCAGCGCTGGAAAGCTGATCCGATATTTACACGGGTCCTACTTCTTGCTTTATCGTTCCGCAGACGTTTTCCTCTTTTGTTTTTTTTTATCCGCCATCTCTTTCTTTCTGTCGCTCGGCTCGGCTAATGTCCGTCCCGTGCACTGAAAGCTCTCTCCTCCACATCACGAGTAGACACGCCCCTTATTGCTGATTGGCTACAAGTTTGTTTTGCTATTCGACCCGAATCAGTTTTCAAAAGTGTTTTTGAAAAAATTACATACCCTACCTTTAAATGATTTCCTGAACCTTTTTTTTTTTTCTTTGCCTCCTTCCTCAGTGAGTTAAGCAAGATGGGCGTGACTCTGGTCGGGCACCAAAAGAAGATTCTCTCGGCCGTCCAGAGTTTGCACGCACAGGGGACACACGTGCAAGTATAACAAGCCTTCAAGAGCGTACAGACTGAGAGAGTTACCAACTGCTCCCACCACAGTCCCTATCAGCAGCTTCACCGTACACTTCTCACCCTGGATGTTTCCGCAAATGACCCTTTTGTCAGCACTCTGGCTTCCATCCATGCACGCCCGAGCTTCCTACAGCCAGAGGAACACACCGAGACCGATCTACAATCGCTTGACAAGGCCACGGCAAATCAGATATGAAGTATGGTTATTAAACAAAAAAGGAACAAAAACACATTAGGGAGAATTCACAGCTTGTGTTTTACAGTTTCAACATTTGCATTTAATATTTGACGTTTTGCATATCAGAGGTCGGACTGTTGTTGTTTTGTTTTTCTCACATCTGTGTTTGGGATATCAGTCTGTCCTTCTACATCACTTATAAGCCACAGTAAAATATCAGAAGATGTTTCTAATATATTTATTTTGTCATAATTGAGCGTTTGAGCACAGATGGATTCAAGTCCCAGAATTCAGACGAAAAGGCGACAGAGGTTTGTGTTCCACAAGCAAAGATGGCCGGAATGCATCTGAGACGACGAAGACGAAGGCCGTGCCTTGCACAGGACGACGAGACAAGCTGAGAAATAATTGCTCTTCACTCATCGCCGTGTTGCAAGCATTTGAATAAGAATCCGTTTGACTTCTCAAACACACTTCCAGAAAATAGAAATGTCATTTCTGTCCATCCGCTGCACAGATATGCCAACGTGTTTTACCACTGCAAAGTTTGTGCACGTCAGATCAAGCAAAGACGACTTCGAAAGGTCATTTTCGTCATTACGAAGTTCGCATCGTCTTTACGTTTACACTCGTAGTGCGTGACGACTATTGTACTATAGTGTATAAAATGTACAGTGTTGATTTGAAAAAAAGAAGACAAAAACGAAAAACTAGAATGTTTGTAATGATGTACCTTTATTTAGTATGAAGAGGAAGAAGTGGCCGTTATCACCGTCGTTTGCCGATGTGCGATAATAACTCATCTCTGGAATGTAGCATGGATCCTAAGCTTCATCTTTGATTGACAGGTGACAGTGACTGCAGTTTTTTCACTCAAGTGGTGCCCTTAGCTGCTTGACTTTAGATGCCTTATTAACTGTGCAGTTCTCTCTCTTTTTCTCGTCCTCCCCTTAGAAACGATATCATGAAGTTTAATGTATATAGTATTTATCATTGTGTCACTGAGAAGCTGGAGCTCGATGTAAAAGCCAGGCTCGACGTTGTTTTAGTCTGCTGTTTGTGGAAACGCATTCGATCCGTGTGGAACAGGGACGGAGATTCTATTGGGGCGAACTAAATTCCTCATGCTAACTTTACCGAGACTGATTTGCTGCACTGTATATTTTTGTACTAGTGAGGTTGTTCTGTAAAGTAGAAGTCTACCTGTTTTATTTAAATATATATGAGACATAAATACAGGAACGGATGGAAATGAGAGATAATCATACTTCAAATCATGATTCCCTGACGTCATTTCACATTTTGATTTCTTTTATGTCATTGATTGTTTCGATGCTTCAGCACAACGCTGTAACTAATCGCAAAAACTTGCTTGGAATCTGTAGGGGTTTTTCTTCCACATTCTGCAGAATTTTGCTGAAAGGATTTGAATATGCTAAAATATCTTTATTCAAAACTCATTTAAAATGGAAAAATAAATAAATAAAATGTCAGAATTCTGTACCCGCAGATTCCGTGTGTGGTTTAACTAAGCACACATAACCACTCTTCCTTTCGTCAATTTTTAAGGAAAAGCCATCATCGTCTGTTATTAGAATATGTATAACTGGATACTTTTCATAAAAGGTGAAAATCCTGAAAATGACATCTCGAACCATGTTTAAAATGGTCACATATTTGGTTCCCCAAATTAAAATGGCATAAACAACAATACATTAAAAATATATAAATGATACTGATAAATGCAAGGATCCCTACTAACCATTGCACTTTTCTTTAGTTTTTTTTTCCCCCATGCATATTTTACCGAAGGAGAGGAAAAACACTTCCTTAAACAAGTGATTATGCATTTAGATGAATTCATTTGTTCTATCCTGCGATTGTTAATGAACCTTATACACTAAATCTGAGATTTCAATATGTTAAGTAATTCCAGAAGGCCAGAAACTCATCCATTTTTATGCTCATTTTCCAATCCAAAATGAAATCCATTCAACTCCGTCTAGGGAGGCAATATGCTGATGTGGCAAAATTGGCTGCAGAAAATTGCATTGAAATAATAAAAACATGATGATGATGATGATGATAGTGGCGATATTAATGACCATTAATAAAACATAAGCTCCAGTTTTTACTACTGCAACATAAAACTTCCAGTTTTGCAAATACAGCTAAGTAAAGAATTATATCTATATATCTGCTCACCAAATGAATCAAAGCAGGTGGTTTTGTGACTAAACAGTGTTAGTGGCAGGATGTGGAATGTTGTTAATATGATAGAAGGTGATAGATGAATCTTGCTTATAAATTGTCTATCGAGTCGTTGTCTTTTGTTCTGCCCCGGCTCTGTACATGTGTTTGGGCTGATCCTTTGTGAATGATCTCTGTTCTTTTGTAAGCTATGTGCCCATCTCTCCACACACTGCAGGTCTCTATGAGCTCGCAAAAAAGGGTGTACGCATTGACATTCTTCATGTCGCTGTAATAAATGCTAATATTTTTAATTTCTCACCTGAAGCTTTGGCATCTCTTTTCATTCTTCTCTAAATGCACTTATGGTTCTTTATCCTACGCACGCACACGCACACACACACACACACACACACACACACACAAACCCTGAAAAAAAAATGGTGTAGAAACTATTTTTAGAAAATCTTGCACACTAAAATATTAGAATCAAATTATGACCAAATTTCAGATTTGATGATGCACAGGATTTAGTAAATAACCGAATAGTTATATATAAATTAAATATATTATGAAAATAAAAATTATTAATTTATAAATAAAATGTATTACTTTTAAAAATATATTTTAGTTACACATAGAACCACAGAAGTAACACATAGAATTTAAAACTTCCATAATATTTTTTTGTCAAATGTACTCTAATCATTTTGTTCTATTTTTAACCTTTTTTTTTTTTGCACAGACGCCATGGAAGGTCAATTATTTTGCATCTAAACATAAAGACAGGATGGAAAAAATGTTTACAATGACAATGCAGTATATGCAATGAACAATACCTATTGTATTGCACTTCCAAAATACTATACAATAACCTGTTCAGTTGTTAAAAAATCCATAATATACATCTGCGTATAAATTGACCCTCTACACTTTATGAATTGCACCAAATTATTAGAACTAAATAGTGGCCAAATATCCAAATTTCCTGATGCACTGAATTATTTAGAAAATAAATGTAGTAATCAAATCGAACATCAAAGCAATTATTTACGCCTCTATTCAGATATACATTTACAAGTAAAATGTATTCTTTTTAAAATAGCACATTTTCTCTATATTTGATGACAGATTTTATTCAAAAATGTGCACAATTTTTCCTCATTAAAGAAAGTCTTGCACAGCGAAATATTAGAACCTAATTGTGATCAAATTTCAGATTTCATGATGCACTGGATTAATTAGTAGAACATAATAATTTATAAATAAAATGTATTACTTTTAAAATGGTATATTTGTAAATTATATTTAATTTTTATTCTAAAAGGTGCAAAGAAGTCCTTTAAAATTCAATTTAAAAAATATATATTTTACATGAAGTTTATTTAGCAGAATTATTGAGTCCACATTTGTGTGCCTCTAACATTTGTTTAAATTTAAGCTGCACAAAGAACAACTAAATATAAAAACATTCAGCCTCCTAATGAGGCTATAACTGCAAAATGTGTAGTTTTTTTTTTAGACTGCATTTATGTTAAGCCAAACAGGGTCTTTTTGACCTGCGTGCGCTGTGCCGGAGACGGATGTCATATTCTCCAGAGAGAGAGAACGGGTCAGAGAAGGTTAGCTTTTAAAAGCACTCCTGCCTCTCTTCTCACTCTATGTTATGTCCATTACAACCAATCCCCACTCTCTCTTTCTCTCCTTTGTCTTGCTGTGCATTACACAGCACACACACACACACATATCATATGGAACACAGTCATTTTTCAGCCATCATTAGTATGGCAGTCGGACAGATTTATGGGCAGCCCGTAGGGCCACAATAATACAATCAGCAGGCAAGACAGTACAGATGAACATTACGGACGGTTTTTCAAACAAATCATATTGCGTTACAGAAGTTCAAACAGTACACAAATCATCTCTAACGGTTCGCTTTTGTCATAGCAGATTCGTTACACGTCACGGGCCTCTGTGCCGCAGTGCTGAGAACTGAAAAAATTAAAGTAGTTTCTCCATTTAATGAGTATTACATGGGCTTTTGTGTTCCCATTACACAATGGTAAAACGTGGAGTGTTTATAGAGTAGACAAATCACAAAGGTGGGAAGTTTTCTCGTTAAGCAAGGAAGTAAAAAAAGGTATCAATGTTTATTTTGCGTGTCACTGTGAGCGCGTGAAGCGTGTGTGGGGCGATCATTCAGGGCCATTTTTACAAGGGACAGTGGTCAGTTTTCCAACGCTGCTGTCCGAAGCCTCTGGAGGTCTGAGTGGATCTATATCGCACCATCCAGCCTCAGGCTCCTGTGTTCTTTTAATGCCTTCTGCACTCACATTAAGAGACACCTAAGCCCCTGTCTGACAGCATGACTGAGAGGGGTAATTAGACTAAACACCCTCGGGACTCGCTACCGTGTGCGTGTGTGTTACAGAGAGAGTGAGTAAAAGTGAATTTGTTCGCTTAGTGTGTTTCTACATTTGTTCAGAGTGAATCAGTGCGCCGTACGAGTTTGTGCACATGCCCGACAACCCCATCCGTCATGTTTTGGCCTTTCGAGCCTTCTTCGCCTCACCATATAACCTTTTCAAATTATGTCAATGTGTATTTCAAAATGAATCAATATGTCATACTTGTGGCCGATTGTTCGCATCTGCTAATATATGGACTTGGGCCTAATTTGTGGTTTGGTAAAATGACACATTATCACGGGGTGATCCATCACGCCGTCCTAAATGACAGCCCGTCATCCTTTCTGCTCTGCTTACTGGTGTCATGTGATTGTTGGTGAACATGACAAAGGGAGATTGAAGAGGATTCAATTCGGGTCACGTGACTGTCCGGGAACCGATCCGTTCCCACTGCGCACTCTCTTGGATGTGTTGGGAACTGGGAAGCACTTAATACATTAAGCTCGGACGCATTTTTCTTGAATGCTAATTCAAAGCCACTCCAATCTGAAAATGAAATATAGTTAGATAAATGCCCAAATAAATTCGAATGACTCTGGATTGCTTTCTTATTACTCTTACTTGTGGCCCAGTGGCTGTTTTTGTTTTTTGTGTCATGTAATCCTGGTCGATTAGCGGTGACATTTAGTGTTTGCTCCCAGTGCGTCCGGCCTTTACTTTCATTAAGGCGAAAACAAAAGTTTCAGAGCACAACAAGTGCCATCCTCACATGACACTGAATAGCAAAAAGGTCACACACCGTAGCACTTTGATCAGAACTAAAGTCCTGAAGGAAATCTAGTATACTAGTTCCCTCGTCATGCTAGCTCACGGTGTCTTAGCCCAAACTGACAGCGTTTTACATGTCAGTCTGCTGAACCTAGACGTTTAATGTTGTTTTTCATAAAAATACATCAGTTGATTTTCTGTCACTCCCTCTGTAAACCAAATCGCATTTGTTGCTCGGTGAGGAAAAAAAGCCTAGCTGGTTTTACTCACTTATTGTGATACTGGGGGAACATGTGAATGCGGTGCAGTCCTCTGTGTTTAATATGATCCGGCTCCTCACTGAGCTATTGTTTGACTGTGGTAGAGGATGAGCCACAGGAAGTGTGGGAGAATTTCAGCTCACAAAGGGGATCTTCACGTTTAACTAGATTAGTCCAGCCGTCATCCTAATCCACTTCAGCAAAACACATCTATAGGGACGGCTTACTTACAAACAGCCCTGTCATGGCTGTTGTAGACGTGCTCAGCGAGGGCCCTGAGAATGGTGTTTTTTGAAGATTGTACAGTTAGACCATTGTAAGAGGCTTTATTCAAATTGACAAGCAGCCACGCTAAGACACAATGAACAATTTGCATTTTTGATAGGGGCTTTCCAGTAGCTCCTGAACTGTAACCATAAAATCATTTTTCATATTACGCCCCTCCCCCCTTCCCCAAAGTAGCATCTTAGTCCTTGAATGGTGGTGTCTTGTGGTTATAGATCTTTGAGTAAGACACATTTACTCACAGTTACTTTTTGGAAGATAGATAGATAGATAGATAGATAGATAGATAGATAGATAGATAGATAGATAGATAGATAGATAGATAGATAGATAGATAGATAGATAGAACAAAATGCTCCCATTATAATCCACTAAACCGTATACTGTGGCACAAAAGTATAATGCTATGTTGGAGAGCAAAATCACTTGTCCACAGTAATGTAATGTAGATAGATAGATAGATAGATAGATAGATAGAACAAAATGCTCCCATTATAATCCACTAAACCGTATACTGTGGCACAAAAGTATAATGCTATGTTGGAGAGCAAAATCACTTGTCCACAGTAATGTAATGTAATAAAATAATGAAATAAACCTATTATATTATATTATATATATATATATATAAAAAACTGCAAGTCAAGCAAGGTGCTACTGACTGTTTAGCAAAGATTGAGAAAAAAATGATTAGGACTTGATTAGGATTAATACACACTTTCTGGGGGGAAAAAAGATACAAAAGCTGTCAATGTAGTTTATACATGTTAGTCCCTAAAAGGTACAAAAGTGTATCTTTTGAAAAAGGTACTGCTCCAGGTTTTGTACCTTTTTTTCTGAGAGTGCAACAGTAGAATGTTTCATTAACATTATTCAATGTTATTGTTTTTTTATAAAACAGTTACCAAGAAGAACAAAAGCTCTATAACTTTTCATTAAAAATGTATTTTAATAATCAAGTGTCATCCTTTCCCAGTCCCGCACATAACAGAATGTTATGTAACAAAAATAACAGTTCACTAAATGAGCTGTTCAGTGATATGGTGACCAAAATTGTAATTATACAGTAGGCCAATAATTGACCAGCCAACATCCAGAACTTGGAACTATACATTTTATAATGTCTAATATTGCTATTATTACATTTACATTTATGCATTTAGTAGATGCTTTTATCCAAAGCGTCTTACAAAAGAGAAACAAAAGCAGATTTTACGGAATACTAATATCAGGACTCCACACATCCATCAGACTTTTCCATGCACGATCAGCTGTAGCGTTTGACAGTAGAGATGTTACTTCACAGACGGCGGATGTTAATTAGAGCCTGTTGGAACAGATGCCCGTCTATCAGCCTGCTAGAAAACCATCCTACCAGCATCACTCACAAAAAATTCGAACTGCTCCTCTGACTAATGTATTGACGAGTCAGCACCTCTCAATCTGCAAGTACACTTGCTTATTTTAGTCAGGAAGTCTTTAAAGCATTTGACCTCGACTTGTACACTAAAAGCGTTTTTTGAGATACCATAGTTGACACTGTTGCTGTGCCTGTTTTCATTCCAAGTTATTTGGTTTTTCATGGAATTTAAATGTG